CCCTCAGGCTCATCAGGTTCTACCCTGCATCCGACACTGGGAAAGCTGAAAAATACCACCCTCGGGGAAAGTAGGAACACTTTCCAAACAAAGGTCCTGTGAGGACACTTGGGGACAATTTACTCCCAAGAGCAAACACTGACTAGGATGTCTTTTTTTGCTTATGATGGGATCTGGTAGAAAAGTTTCAAGTTACCAAGATAGAGAATATGTTCTAATGTCTTGCAAATGAACCAAATACCCTTCCCTTAATGAAAGAAGAGATGTGTGTGTGTGTTTTTAAATCACTGAAAATGATAGTGGGGATAACAGTAATAGTCCTCATGTGCCTGGCACTGTGCTCTGTGTTGTACACACCTTTGTTATGTAGTCCAGACAGCAACTCAAGGGGAGTGGGTGTGCATACCTCAAAGCCTGGCGGGGGGGTGGGGTCCTTAAGCCTGCCCTGATCCCATGGCTGGAGAGCGGAGCCTGGGTGAGACCCTCTCTGTGGAGCCAGGACTCAGAACTAAGATGTCATGGTTTCCCACAGGACAGGAGGGAGAACAGGGCTTGGGATCGTGGCTGTGCCACTGTTGCTGCCCCTCTGGGCCTCAGTTTCTCCCTCGGTAAAGATGGGATTGGATTAGATGTGCTTAAGACTGTTAACAGCTACATATGTCTGAGATTTGACATCTCTGTCATTTCAGAGCCAGCTTCCTTTGGGAAACATTGTTGTCACAAGAAAAAAATTGCCTTCTATCAAAATGTTTTCTAGTCTTGGGCAAAGTGAAAGGTGTTAGTGCCAAAGATAGGAAACCATTACTATAGGAAACGGGGGTAGAGATGAGGATAAGGGGGGGGGTGAATGGGCTAGCATCCAAAACTGAACAGGGACATGGTTCTTAGGGAGCCACAAGATTATACATCTAATTCTCTACCCTGCATTTCAAGCCTGCTAGAGATAGTGAATGTCAAAGTGGTAAGGTTCCTCCTCTCAGCTCCAAACTCAGAAACTTGTGTGACAGGTCAGGAGGGGTCCCAAGCAGCAAACCCCTTCATTTTATGTCAGTGAGCTCCCAACCCTTGGAAGACAGAGACCTCTAAGGCCAAATTCCAGAGAATTTAGATCGGGTGGGCCCCCAGGTGTACCATCCCTGGTACTTGTGTCTTCAAGAGCAGGCTGTGGTAGACCAGGGCTTTCTTTTGGAATATGGAACTCGTAAGACTCAGCCTCTCTTCTGACAGCTCATCTGCCAGACTGACTGAATGCAGTATAGTTGGGACAAGGAGTCCAGAGCCCTCCTGTTGTTTCAGGAAGCTCCTCTTGTCCATCTACCCCGAAGACCTGTGATTTGCCAGCTCACTCTACAGTTAACCACATTCTTAGTAGGAATTAATGAATCCAGGTGATAAACTGTGATAAAGGATAGTCAAGATTTCCTAGCTTAGATGTAGGGAAAGCCTGCATTGAGTCCCATTGGTAAGAGATGTTGAATTTTCCACCCAAAAACAATTTCAGATGGTCCCCAATTTTTGAACCGCTCTTTTATTCATTGTTAGGTTGGTGTTTTAAATGTAGAAAATTGTAAATGGCATTTAGATTTCCAGGCTGGCCTGCTTAACCCATAACACAGCTGAAACACTCCCTATTACCATGAATCATAATGGAAAATAGTATTTCTGCAAATGAGGAGTATAGAATTGCAGTTGCAGACTCCCTCTGTCTTGAACCACTTTTGGAAGGCCGTCAGCAGTCCCAGCCAGAACATAAACACATTTACACTGAAGTGTAAAAGCAGGATGTCCGATTAATCTTTACTCTGATAAGAGGGAAGTGAGGAAGGAGTGAGAGGTTCCTGGAGCTCTCTGGCCTCGTCTGGGGAAGCAGCAAGGAGAGCGCTACAGTTGAGGGTTCTTGTATGTGTAGCTCTTGCCGTCTCCCGTGAGCATTTCTTCCAGGGTCTTGTAAATATCCCATGGACCAGCAGGTCCAGAGCTGATAGGAACAAGGTGAGGTAGCAGGCAGGGAGGACGTTAGAGCTTCTGTAGTTTTGAGCAGGACAGAACCTGTTGGCAGGCTGCCTTCTGGTTCAGAATGGATGGGCTGGGCCTGCCCCACAAAACAGCTTCTGGTCCTTTCCAGGTCAGCAGTCCCACGCCCACCAGTACACCTGGCTTTCTACCAGGCACAGGCTGGCCCAAAGCACCCCATCCTCCAGGGGCACCACCCTGTTCTTCTAAGATGGGAGCTAAAGTGGTCAGAACAAGGAGACTGCAGTAAGGTCCCACTACAGCCCAGACTGGGCACAGTATGCTCTTAGGAAATTTAAATCCCTGCACTCTCTTGGCTGATTTCTCTACCAAGACTTGTAAATTGAGATTCCCAACTTAAGAATTTATTCTTCCCTGGGTGGATCCCCTCTCTCTGCCTCTCTCTCTCCCTTTCCTCCCCTTCCCACCCGACTCTCCCCTCCCTCCTCCTCATTTGTCCTCCCTCCCTGTCCCTCTCCCACTCTTTCCTACTCTCCCCCTCCTTCTCCCCCTGTCTCCCTCTCCTGCTTCCCTGCATCTTGCATTTACTAAAGCTACTCACTGACCATCGGAAATGCCCAATTAAATCCTGAATGCTGTGTAACTTAAATTCAAATTGTACCCCAGGAATTCTGACACAGACTGTGTTTCCCATTGATTTAAAAAATTAAGACTCAGTGATATAATGTAATTCATTATTATGTAATAAGAGCCTATTATGGATTGTAATTTTTCAGTGACTAACTCAATTTTACTTATTAGTGTTCATTTAAATCTTAGCTTATTATATGTTCAATTCTACAAGTACTAGAACCATTTTCTTAAAAAAATCAGCCATTCGGATTTTTTTCCATCAATTTAGACAAGACTTTCTTCCTTCCTCTTCCTCCAAAAACATTCAGATAAGTGAAGTTTTCTCCTACATTTAAATCAGTGATTGAATAGGACCAAACTGGAGGATGATTAATTTTTGAACTAGAAGCACCAAACTGAAATGAATTTTTATTAATTTCAAAATCTGACATTCCGAGGATCCTTTAGTAGAACCTGGGCTTCTGTAAATAACCATGCAGTAAATCAGTTCAGTGCAGAAACGAACCTGTATCTTGAAATGCAACTTTAAGGTAACTTTAAACCAAGCTGCAGTTTCATTAGGAATGTTCCCCTGATTTACATTTTTTGGGTTTAGTAAATTCAATTCAAATTTATTTCCTCCTAAATGAATTTTTACTACCGGAAGGCCCTTGTATGGAAATGATCTTCTGTCATTTTGCGGTTTGCCTGCCCCAGAGGGTGAAATGGCCTTGAAATTGGAGCGCTGACCATGGCGTGGAGAGTTACTTTCAAGGCTGCGTATGCGTGCGCAGACGGCTGAGGCAGGAGGGAAGGGCACCCTCAGAAAGGAAGGTGCTTGTGTTGTGCCTTCGCCCTTTAGGACAAAACACTCTGATTTGGCAGTTCAGCCAAAAGTATCTTTAAAGGCAGCTGGGGAGCTGCCTGCCTGTCTTCCTCCCGACATGGCCCTGTCCCCACCTCTGCCTCTCCCACCAGGGAAGTGGCTTCTGAGGAGGCTGCTGAGGTGTACTGCTCTCCACTGAACCAGAGTCCTCCCCTCCGAGGCTATTGAGACATGAAGATGACTCACCATTTCAAGATCCCTTACAACTCCAGATTCTGTAGGCCCTGCACGTGTGCTAGGGGTGCTCTCGGCGTCACTGACTTTCTCCATTACCAAATTGGGAAGACTTCAGTTTTAAGAAACAGAAGTTGAAATGAAGTTGATAGAAAAGGTAAATTCCTACAGCGTTTTTGATGGAAACTCTTCATTTTCTACTCTGCAGCTCTTCGGCTGCACGAGAGTAGGGGTCAGTAGAGTCAGAGGTGGGGGGTGGGAAGGTCACGCAAGGGATTCCAGAACGAAGGGAAAAGGTCAGAGAACCTGCCCGCTAAGCTCTGTTGTCCTGGCTGCCGTGGCTGGCATTCGTTTTGACAAGGCTGTCAAGAGGTGACATGCAGAGCAGCGTATTTATTTTGTGTGATTCTTAGTTTTCAAGGTGAGGGATGCATTTTGATGTCCTCTTAATTGTTCTTAAGCATATATTATAGGCTATCATCCAAAACTCTTTTCTAAACTTTTCCTGAAGCAAATATTTTAGCTCTTGTAAGTTAGGTATTGGCTGCATAAAGGCGTTTCTCCTGATACTTGCTGTGAGTTTGTTCCTTTTGACCTTCGCCAAGTGGCTCCAGGTTGTTCTATCACCACATCATGCCCATCATCTCCTGAGGAACTTCGATGCTTGGGTCCTCCTGATCCTTCCTGCTCTGTCGTCTTCAGTGTGGCAGCTCTGTCCTCAGAGAGCTCCCCTGACATTGTAAGATGGCTGTAGCCCTTTCAGACATCCCAGGCAGAAGCAGCAACGTCCAGGGGACGGGAGGCATCTCTCCCCTGAGTGTCTCTTAAGAGCGAGGAAGCTTTTCCCAGAAGTGTCCAGCAGACTCTGCCATGTCTCATTGGCCAGGAGTTGGTCAGATGTCCCTTTAGCAAGGAGACTGGTACTGTCTTGACAGTTGAGTTGAATTAGGACTTACCTCCATCGCTGAGAGAGGTGTGTCACAACCAAACAGAATCGGGGCCTTTCCAGCCAGGGAGAAGGAACGATGGCTTTTGGGCAGCCAGTGATGCCAGTTTCATCATCTGTCTTCCTGGACTCAAAGAATACTGTCCACCTATTTATTTATTTTAAGAGTTCAGCCTTTTTTTTTTTTTTTTTTAAGATTTATTTATTTAGAGAGAGCACGGGCCAGGAGAGGGGTGGAGGGGTAAGCAGACTCCCCACTAAGCGTGGAGCCCAATGAGGATGCAGGGCTTGATCCCATGACACTGAGATCATGACCTGAGCAGAAATCAAGAGTCAACCACTTAACCAACTGAGCCACCCAGGCACCCCAAGAGTTCAGTTTTTTATTGACCGTGTTACAGAAGACGTTTAGTCAAAAAGACCAAAGCCCATGTCATCATTAGACTCTTCAGATTCTTCTTCTTTTGCTTCCAGCTCCTTCTCCTCAGCTGGGGCAGCCGTAGTGGGCGGAGCGGGACCTCCTGCTGGTGCAGCAGCAGCTGCTGGAACAGGGCCCCCAGCCCCTACCTCGCAGATGAGGCTCCCGATGTTGACATTGGCCAGGGCCTCTGCAGACAAGCCCGGCCACAAGGGTTCACCACTTCGACCCGCTGCTTTAATGAGGGCATAGATCTTATCCTCTGAGACTGTCAGCTCATCGCCATGCAGGATGAGGGCTGAGTAGATGGAGGAGAGCTCTGAGAAGGAGGCCATGGCGTGGGCGCGCTGCTGGTCTGCGGGTGAAGCTAGGGCGTCACTCCAGCGCGGCCTTAGCTCCCTCAGAAAGACCAAGCACCTTAGCGGCAACTGGGGAAAGCCCATACTGACCATTGACATTTTTTGAATCTTTTGTCCTGTGCAAAAATAGGCGGGTTTTTTTCCTCTTTAAGTTATAATGATTAGAGAAATGATTCATTGCTGACCTTGGGCCTCTCCTTCTTCTTGCCTGAGCTGGACAATGTGGAGTCCCTGCTTTTGATCATTGGGTTGACTGACAGGATTTCAGAGTCGGAAGGCTTTAAGAACATGCAGCTCAGTCTTTCCAGTTTACAAATAGGGAAACTGAGGCTCATGCTGCGAGGGACGCGCCCAGTGTCCCATAGCTAGTTTAGCCGAGCATGCCTGTGATACCGCACGTCTCATTTCGTGTCTTTTTTCTACTTTCCCGATGCTTGGTCCCCTTTCCTTCCAGAAAATCAGTGCTATTGTGCACTTGTAAGCTTTTCTCCCTGTTAAAACTTGCCCAAGAACTAAAGAACTAGATAGCAGTCATTTATAGCCCAGCATGAATATTAGATATTTCATATTTTAAGTCTTCTCTTGAATCATTTAAAGACATTTCAAGCATTTATTAACAGGCAGGAGAATTATTTTGGGGGCAGGAGAACTTCAGTTCTCTTCTTGGCCTCTCGGAATCCCACTGGTGTCTCATTTGCCTTCTTCATCCTGGATGGTGCCACCTTCTCAGCAGCCACAGCAGACAAGAGAAAGGGACCTTGCTTCACATGGGAAAAGCATCCTGCCTGTCACCATCCTTAGACCCTTCATTTGATCTAAAAATGTTTTGTGAGTAAAGTACAAGCTCTGTTGTCTTCTTCTCTGTAAGCAGAGGGTGAGGTGAGGCTCATGGGTAACAGGCCATAGGCCCTGAGAATGTTCCAGGCCCCGTAGATGGCCCGCCATCCCAGGTAGACTTCTCTTCTCCATAAAGAGATGCCTTGTATCTGGAAATCTAAGTGCCCCATCATAGAAGGCTAGGAAGCCTATTTGTAGTATAAAAGTTTTTTTTTTTTTTTTTTTTTTCTATGCAGGTAAGATTCATCATGGGGATCCCATGAAAGGAGTAGTTAGCATATTTACCCTGGAGTACCTACCTTGGTGTATTTAGCAAGTGACTTGATTTCCACACTGAGTGCTGGTTTTTTTTAAGATTTTTATTTATTTATTTATTTGACAGAGAGAGAGAGACATAGCAAGAGAGGGAACACAAGCAGGGGGAGTAGAGAGGGAGAAGCAGACTCCCTGCTGAGCAGGGAGCCGGATGCAGGGCTCGATCCCAGGACCCTGGGATCTTGACCTGAGCTGAAGGCAGTCGCTTAACGACTGAGCCACCCAAGTGCCCCCACACTGGGTGCTGTTTAAAGTGAAACATATGTAGTCTTTCCCTTGAAGGGACATGCCTCCGAACTCTTCAGAGAAGCCACACGCTAGTACCAAGAAGGTGGCATAGGGTATTGTGTCTGCAGTCCTGTCTCTGAGCTGTCCTTCCCCAGTGCCCATGTGCCGTGGTTACTGCCTCATCTTCTTCCCCTTCCAGTAGCCCTCGTTCAGGGCTGGGGGCCTAAATTTAGGCTGAGACCATTCTTTGTGAGGGCAGTCTCACCCATTGCAGGGTGTTTAGAACCCTTGGCTTTCACCCCCGCTTAAGTCCCCACCCAGGTATGATGACAACCCAGAGTACCTCCCCTCACCTCTGACCGCCTCCTCGGGGACAGGCTGCTCCCAGTGGAGAAGGTCCATTTGACACCGAACCAACCAAGCCTGTCCCTTCCTCTGTTTTTAGGGCAGTTTTCTGACTCTAGAGGAGGAGGACACTTTTTTTTTGTTCACCTGGCTGCTGACACATTCCAGTGTCAGTCAGCAAACAAATGAAATAAACATTGATTATTGTCCCCCCCAACTCCCCTTCTCCCTGCACACCCGTGGGCCTTTCACTCATGTGTTCTGGATACATTTTCACACCAGAGACATTGCTAAACAGAGCCCGAGGGGGTCGCGTGGGGTATTGTGACTGGAAGATCTTCACAGCAGGTCTGCTTCTTACCAAATCTCAGGGAGCAGAGCCCCAGGCTCTGTTCTTCAGTGCCCAGGCGGGCATGTGACGTCTGCACACCCACCACTTCAAACGGGGGTCCGGGGTTGGGGAGGCTTGGCAGTTTTTTAGACATCAAACAGCGCTTGCAAAACAAATTTGATGAGTTTGGAATGAATCAGAACCAGACGAGTTACATTTCTCTCTGAATGCATATTTAAAACTTTCTACACACACACCAGAGAACATCCGTACCTTCTCAGAGGATGGGGGTCTTGGCCACGTGTCCTGCAGGATTTGCGAAGCCAGGGTTGTTTTCCACAATATATCTCTCCTCATCCCTTCCCTTTCTTTGGCCACCAACCATCCTGGAAGGTCATACACTTGGGCTCCTTTAAAGGGCTGGGTGAAACCAGGTGACAGGCTTCCACACACTCAACTGGGAAACCTCTGTGTGTGGAAGTTCAAGGTGCCCTCCCACCCCCGCCTCGAGAGGCTGGGTTCTCACAGTGCCAACTTGGAGATAGGCTGGTGGAGGCGGGGGTTTGGGAGGTGGCAGGTCGTGGTGGTTACAGGGAGGAGGCCGACAACTCAGAGGCGCTCACTCTTAATTTGGCTTTCTCTTTCTTATCCTTCTATTCAGGTCTCATTAAATGTCACTTCATCTGACAAGTCTTCCCTAAGCTCCTATTCTAAATCCTCTTTCCTGTTATAACCTTTTATCTTGCCCTATATTGCCCTTTTTTCTTGCTCTTGTCTCTTATAGAACTTAAAACAATCTGTAATTATGTATTTATTTGTATGATTTTCTGTCACCCCAGTAGCTGGGCGAGGTTGAGGACCCTATCTTCTCTCCACTGCAGTATCCCCAGTACTTAGCCCAAGGCTGGCAGCTAAGAAACAGTTGTGGGATGAATAAATGGTGACAGTCTACTCCTCTTGGGTTGATGATTTTGAATAAGGGGGTAGGCAGAGGGTTTGGTGTACATGGTCTGTGTTGGGGATTAGCCTTGACTTGGGGTTACTCAGAGAGGCAGGAGGGCGAGCTGGACAAACCTGGGACTACTCCCTGTAAATCAAGTAGCCCACTTGAGATCTAGTGCTTCCATAGGAGCGCCATGCGCTGTAGAATCCAGGCCTTGGGATGAGATCCAGAGGGAAGAAGGCCAGTTGACAACTTATACGATGTAGATGAGTGATTTCAGAAGCACAGGGTAGTATTTTCAAAAATAAAACGAGACATTGAGAGAATGGCAGCACCTGGGGGTTGAGTGTGCTTCTGACCTGGGAGGAGGCAAAGGGCTCAGGCTTTGCCATTAAGCCTGCTTGGGATTCTAGATTTCACCACTGACTGGCTGTGTGGCTCTTAACCAAGTTGTTTATGCAGTCTGTATTTTTACCTGTGAAATGGGGCTGGTGATAGCTCCCTCTCTGGGGTTTCATGAATATTCACTGAGCTGACATGTGTGCCTCCCTCATACTCAGGGTCCAGTGAGTGTTGGTTTTTAGTTCTTCTTCTCTTTTGAATAGCTAGCATTGCCGATTTCAGATTTCTCCTGCTCCCCAACCTGGTCTGTAGTCAATGAGCAAATATACTAACTCTTCGTCCTTAGGTACATATGGTGCACATGGCATGTACCCATCATTGTGCTAAGGTGGTAAAGATTCAGAAGAAGCACGTTTTTCCTATAGAATATCTCCCCTGTTGACATATTCCTGGGAGGAATATATCTTTGCTTCTAATATCTCTGTTTCATATTTTATAAACAGCTCTGAGTAAAGTGATTTTCAGTTGATATTTATATAGGAAAAGTGTATATTGATAGCCCTCAAACTCAATATAACATTTTAAAGAAAAGTCTCAAGTTATCTTACAATACAATTGGTGAAACATGAGAAACATTTGTAGATGTTTTATAGAGCCCACATAATGCCAATAAAGGGGATGTACTTTGGGGCTGTTTGGGGGGGGGCTAAGAGAGTCATGTGACTACATCCAAGGAACACTGATCCATTCCCCAGGGGAGGAGTCTTGGCCATATATGTTGGAGGATTTGCAAAGCCAGTGTAATAGCGAGGTAGACCAGACAGCTTTTCCAACCCCCATCACAACCCAACACACTCTTCCTTTCCCTTTTCCTGACTGCCAACCTTCCTAGAAGGAGGTCATCCATTTGGGCCCTTTTAAAGCTCTGGGAGAAACCAGGTGACTGGCTTCTGCACATTCAACTGAGAGATCAGGAAGGGCTATTTTAAACACTTTACATCCTAATGTGATAGTTTATATGATAGTTATGTGCTGTACTTTGCTTACATTTTAGGAAATACATTATAATATGTTTTGGTTTGGGGTTGATGTAAAGCAAAACATTATAATTTTTCCTATGTAAAATAATGGGAAATAGGTTACCATTTCGCACAGCACATCTGACTTTCAGAAACGGATTACCAAAATGTGCCTTTTCCCATGTGGTCCTTATCTTCAAAGAATGTATAGTCTAGTTGGGCTGATAAGACAAACAACAAGAATTGAACTTTCTCATAAGGAACATAACATAAGATGGTATACAGTTAAATCAGGTGTTGGAGTGTGCAGTCTGGTCTGTTGATTCTATAGGGATTAGAAAAAGCAGAATCACTTGGGTGGGGGGAGATTCTGGAGAGGTTTCATGGAGGGGACTAGACCTGCAGGGGCTTTGAGAATGACAGGGCTTGGTTAGGATAGGAATCAACGTATAGGCGATGGCTGTTGGAATGTTAGGCTTTAGAAGTTGATGTATTGTATGGTGACTAACATAATATAATTAAATTAAAAAAAAAGGTTTCTTCCAGTGAACATTCCTCAAATACCTATAATGCACCAGGTACTGTGTTAAATATAAAGTGGTAAGCCAAGAAACAT